TCCATTATACAACCCGTTTCTGATTTCTGTCGTCTCCCTCACCTCCCCATCCAATCCCCCCGCCCTCCCTTCTGTCACCTCACAGCCCTCACCCTATCTCCCAGGACCATGAGGCCTCTCCCTAGTGTGACGCCTGAGATATATATACGGATGCTGAAGGGTCTCCCAGACCTGTTCGCCTCTTGGCTTTTAAATTGTTCTGAGGGTGAGGGAGAAGGGAGAGAAGAGTGGAAGAGCCGTGGAACGAAGTGGGGGAAGGGGAGGAAGGATGATAACTGGGGAAGAGAAAGGGGGCAAGGAAATTGATAGAAGGACTAAGACGAGACGAAGAGGGAAAGGAGAGGGAAGCAAGAGGGAATTAGGAGGAATGGCAGAGGGGAGGAGAGGGTGGGAGGAAGGGAGGGAGAGAGAGAGAGAGAGAGAGAGAGAGAGAGAGAGAGAGAGAGAGAGAGAGAGAGAGAGAGAGAGAGAGAGAGAGAGAGAGAGAGAGAGAGAGAGAGAGAGGCGATGGGATGAATATGCAAAGTGGAAATAAGATAGCAAGGTAACGTCTAAATTAAGTGAATATAGAATAAAAGGAGCACTGGTAAGCCTCCTCAAGCACACACACACACACACACACACACACGTCCGTGTCACCCACAGACGTGGCCGTGAACAAAGAGCACATGTCAGCATTTACATGGCCACGGAGTCGGCCAAAACCACACATTATCACTCTCTCCTCGGGAGGGGGGGGGGGGGGTCGACCTGCTTGTAATAAACAAACAAGATTATGAATTTAGCCAACAACTATCCCTCTCTTCCTCTCTCTCCCCCTCCCTCTCCCCCTCCCTTTCCCTCCCCTCCCTTCATCCTTCCCTAACCCCCCCTCCCACTTTCCCCTCCTCCTCCGTGACCCAACACCAGGTTCAGGTCGTAATGAGTTTGTACCCTGTCTTCTCAGCTTCCATTTTCCCTATTTTTTCCCCTAGTTTTTTCTCCCCGAGTTATTTTTTTCTCCTGTCTGGGGTGATATGGTGATGGTATTTAATTATGCATCTGTCGGTTTTCTGTCTGTGTCACCCCGACTGACAGGCGTACGGACAGGCAAAAACATGGTTCAGTGGCGGCCCAAGCACCGCCCTCGCCTGGCTCCTCTGCCAGATTACTGTGTCGCCTCTGACCTTCACAGAAACATACAATTGCCGCGTGTAAATAAAACCAGGTGTCCGTGATAAAGGTGTCACCTGGTGATGGCAGAGAGTGACGGTACTGGCGTGAGCGGCGCTCATGCCCACCAGAGGCCGCAAGAAGAGGAGTGATGGAGCGAGGGGAGGCCACTGAGCAGGGAGGGACGAGGTCATAGGGAAGAAATAGGAATCAATGTAGCTACCCCGAGTGTGCTTCCCTATTGGCGTGTTTACGGAAGACGGTTCAACTCCTGGACCCTGCCTCATTGTGGCAGTTTAACTCTCGTGCATCTCCCGTTACTCCCGTGGCGAGTGTGGCACTCTTTGTGCGTGCTCCGACGCAGTGTACGAAGGTAATATTAAACTAGCCACACACACAGATGTGAGAACAATGACTAAGGCAGCGTGGGAGGAGGGAAGGGTGGATGGGCGGGGACAGAAGTAAGTTAGAGGACGAGGAAGGGGGGGAATAAGACTTTTTATTACCATATTTAGGTATATGTGCATTTATACAGCTGTCCTAGACTGTGTAAAGGGGGTACATAGTGTGTCACGAGTGTACATAGTGTGTCACGAGTGTACATAGTGTGTCACGAGTGTACATAGTGTGTCACGAGTGTACATAGTGTGTCACGCGTGTACATAGTGTGTCACGCGTGTACATAGTGTGCCACGAGTGTACATAGTGTGTCACGAGTGTACATAGTGTGTCACTAGTGTACATAGTGTGTCACTAGTGTACATAGTGTGTCACGAGTGTACATAGTGTGTCACGAGTGTACATAGTGTGTCACGAGTGTACATAGTGTGTCACGAGTGTACATAGTGTGTCACGAGTGTACATAGTGTGTCACGCGTGTACATAGTGTGTCACGAGTGTACATAGTGTGTCACGCGTGTACATAGTGTGTCACGAGTGTACATAGTGTGTCACGCGTGTACATAGTATGTCACGAGTGTACATAGTGTGTCACGAGTGTACATAGTGTGTCAAGAGTGTACATAGTGTGTCTACGTAATGCTAACAAAATCCCCATCACATTGGAAGGTTAGTCATATAGGCTCATATCTTCAGTTCTCTGCTCTGCCAAATTTTGGCTACACCGGGTGTATATAACCTTAAGAACACGAGTTATTAAAGTCAGTGCAAAGTCACTAATCTAAACTAAACTAATTAAACTAAGTCACTAAAGTCAAAGTCATTGCCAAGCTCCAGGTACCGCATGTTAAGGGGGTCTGAATGGTCTAATAACTGGGCATTCAGTGATGCCCAGTTCTTACAGCGTCCCTGGAAACACAAACCGAAACTGTCTCTATTTTCCGCTTGTTACAACTTGTAATAAAGTTGTTATATCTTGGCTTAACGTGTTTATGACGTATTGGAACGTTGTTACAACTTGCTATATTGGTTGTTATAACTGGTTAGGAGGTGTTAAAACTTGTTCGAATGTTGTACCAACGGCTTAGTTTCGGTGTGTGTTTGGCGGGATGGAGTCACGACCCAGTTCCTGCCATATGGGAGGCCCATTAACAGCCTACGGTCCCTACTCACCCGATTTAACTATCTTAAAGTCACGCGGAGAATTTATTGCTTCAGTTCCTTCCCTCCATCTTTTTTCCCCTTTGTTATGTCTTTATTCCTATTTTATCTCCAAGACAAAATCATAGCTTCCGGACGTTTTTTTATTGTCATTTTTTTTCCTTCATTGCAAGTCACTGACCTGGTCGAGGACCGGGCCGCGGGGACGCTAAACCCCGTAATCATGGCACGGTAACTAACCACTGCTCGACAACATATGTACTCGGCTACAAGAATTTTTTACCTTATTTTTGTAATTTACAAAGTAATACGTAAATTTGTAAATTTTTTAAGTCCCCCCCCCTCCTCCCCTCCTAGTGTGGGTTATCTTGAGATGATTTCGGGGCTTAGCGTCCCCGCGGCCCAGTCCTCGACCAGGCCTCCTTTTTGTTACACACCTTCAGGAAGCAACCCGTAGCAGCTGTCTAACTCCCAGGTACCTATTTACTGCTAGGTAACAGGGGCATCAGGGTGAAAGTAACGCTGCCCATTTGTCTCAGCCTCTACCTGGGATCGAACCCGGAACTTCAGGACTACGAATCCGAAACGCTGTCTATTCAGCTGTCAGGCGTCCTGACAGCGCCTGTAACTATATTTCCCTCCGTGGTTGGAAGGAAAGATCCGTGTTGGAACCGACTTGTAACGTCTGGCAGCGCTGATGGTTCACCATACTGCTGGTTGTTGTTGTTGTTAAAGATTCGCTACCTGGAACAAAGTTCCAAGTAGCACGGGCTATGGTGAGCCCGTAAATATACTGCTGGTGGGTTCTCTCTCTCTCGACGTCCGCTGGTGCACTTCCCCGCTCACGCCTGCCTGTTTCACCAACCCGTACACTAGTGTCATCTGTGGCTCCACCTCGAAGCCTTCCTCACAGTTTCAAAGCATTCCTCTCTCTCTCTCTCTCTCTCTCTCTCTCTCTCTCTCTCTCTCTCTCTCTCTCTCTCTCTCTCTCTCTCTCTCTCTCTCTCTCTCTCCCTCTCCCTCCCTCCCTCCCTCCCTCCCTCCCTGCTCTGTCCTGTCTGAGTTCTGTCCGACACTCTCAGGGAGTTTGTGAGCGCTCTCATATCAAGTTTGTGAGGCGAGATTTGCTATGGCAGAACAAATGCTAGTGTTGCATTATCATGGCCCTTCTCTCCAGACATTTTTCTTGTATTTTTTTTCTTCTGCCTCACTGCCTTAGGTGATATGCATGTAAGGGTGAGAGTTAGCCAACTCCCGCTGCAACCCATTCTCGCACTTGCGTATAGTCAATACTTGGCTTATTAATAAGTGCATATGTGACATACTAATTTATTGTGAATATTTGAGTTTACCCTGAAAAGCTGAATAGAAAACACTGACCTAACCTAACTTTCTTAGTATGTTAAGATAAGCATCTTATTGCTTCTTAATTACAATTAGTACTTAACCTATACCTATATTGATATTACAGTTTTATAAAAATAATAAAACAAAACTAAAATATTTAAAAAAATTGTAAAGTAACTCAGGATATTGTCAAAATTTTGTATAAAATCTCTATTGTTTAATAAAACTGAAAAAGAAATTCCTAATATTAAAACTGGTGTATAGCAAATCTATAGGAAGAGTTTGTACCTTGAAAACAAAATATAACTTGGAATATACCACATATGTACTTATTAATATGCCAAATATTGACTATAAGCAATAAGTCATATATGTACTGTCTTGTGCGAGAGCGGGTTGCCCAAGATACCTCAAGCATTTACTCTCTGGATCGTGACACAGAGGCGCTGGAACCGGAAACTGGCCACTCTTGGGTCTTTAATTTGCTTAATGAGTTTCTCACCCACCTCCTTCAGGTGCACTCCCCCCCCCCTTCCAAGGCGCCCATGGTTTCGGAGCCTATTGGCACGAACCTGTAACACTGTTCTAGGTCCGTGTACTTATTAGTGTTCTGGGTCGCCCTGAAGGAGGCCGCCCCGCCACCCTCAGCTGTACTGTGAGGTAGACAGGCATCAGCCAAGGTAGACGCCACACGTGTAGTCCCACACAACCTGACTACCGTCCCTCCATGGCTGCAGAGTGACTCCATCTGGGCGCTCGTGACTGCTGTCGGGTCTGTTCTTCAGAGGTTCCCTTTCTGCTGGACACCCAGCTGTAGCCAAACTTCTTTTGATGATGTCAGTGACTTCTTCATGTCTAGCAATCTTTCCCTCTAACTTACGACGGATAAGACCATAACTGACGTATCGGTCTGCCTACACATAGTCGCACATACACCTACCACAGTACTGACACCAATTATTATCTCCACAGATAATTATCTCCGCCAATTATTTTCTCCACAGTACGCCAGCATGAGTGAGTCCTCAACCACGCCCACGACTCCCGAAGGAGAACCCTCAGATGCCCACGAGACACCAGCGCCCACCCTCATCACGCCCACCATTTTGCCCAGTGTGCTAGCAACGCCCACGATCTCGCCTACCACGCCCACGCTATTGCCCAGCGCGTCAGCCGCGCCTCTGGTCTCGCCCGCTATAACTGACACGCCCTCCATCGCCATTAGTGTGTCAGCCACGCCCACCACCCCGCTCACAACCCCGCCCACCATGTCAGCCACGCCCACCACCGAGACATCAACTGAGGTGAAAACCAGCGATATTGTATTATATGGCTATTGTTCGTGATATTCTTTTTAGAAGTATGAGTACTGTGGGTAGTAATGATAGTACTTGTTATTGTTTGAGAAGTTGCTGGTTTCAGGAATTCCTCTTTGTCAAGTTTGGTCGATTCCTGTTAGTATTTTGTAAGTAGTGGTCATATCACCTCTTTTTCTTCTCTCTTCTAGTTTTGTATGTTTGAAGCCTGCAGTCTCTCCTCGTAACTCTTTGTTTTAAAGTATCGGAAGCCATTTTGTAGCACGTCTTTGCACCTTTTCCATTTTATTGATGCGCTTCTTGAGATATGGGCACCGTACAACTGCTGCATATTCCAATTTTGGTCTCACAAAAGTCATGAACAGTTTCTTTAACAGTTCGCCATCCATGTAATTAAAAGCGAGTCTGAAGTTGGAAAGCAACACATACACTCCTCGCACAATGTTCTTTACGTGTTCCTCTGTTCCTTGTTCCTCTGTTTCACTGTTCCTCTGGTGACGGTCTACTCTCCAAAACCACCCCCTAGGTCTAATTCCTTGTTAAAGAGTTCTGTAATTCCTTACCGGATAATGTCCCTGTGATTGGTCCACGAAGCCCTGTTTGCGAGTGCATGCATGTGTGTGTGTCTGTGTGTATTTTGTATAAATAAGCAGGTTATTTAGTAATATCTTAAATATATATATATATATATATATATATATATATATATATATATATATATATATATATATATATATATATATATATATATATATATATATATGTCGTACCTAATAGCCAGAAAGCACTTCTCAGCCTACTATTCAAGGCCCAATTTGCCTAATAAGCCAAGTTTTCATGAATTAATGTTTTTTCGTCTACCTAACCTACCTAACCTAACCTAACCTAGCTTTTTTGGCTACCTAACCTAACCTTACCTATAAATATAGGTTAGGTTAGGTTAGGTAGGGTTGGTTAGGTTCGGTCATATATCTACGTTAATTTTAACTCCAATAAAAAAAATTGACCTCATACATAGAGAAAAGGGTTGCTTTATCATTTCATAAGAAAAAAATTATAGTAAATATATTAATTCCGGAAAACTTGGCTTATTAGGCAAATCGGGCCTTGAATAGTAGGCTGAGAAGTGAGTTCTGGCTACTAGGTACGACATATATATATATATATATATATATATATATATATATATATATATATATATATATATATATATATATATATATATATATATATAATCATTAAGTTAAGTATTTAAGAAAGTAGCAACACTGAAATTATTTCCTGTCTCCTCCATAACAGACGGACAGTGTCACCTCTCCCAGGCCGCCATTGCCGACGTCAACAGACAGTCCTAAATGTAGTGAGTCCACTGACTCCTCGTTAATAGACAGCCAGGAGGCAGTGGAGGAGGTGGTGAACAGCCAAGTGACAGACAGCCAGGCGGTGGACAAGCAAGCGATTGCCAACCAGGTGATAGACAGCCACATGACAGCAAGTGAGGTGACTGTCGACTCAGCAGTGGGAGAAAGAAGGGAGAAGGAAAGCCAGTCAACAGAGAGTCAGACAACAGAGACTGGGGCAACAGAGACCGAGGCAACAGAGACCGAGGCCAGAGAGACCGAGGCCAGAGAGACTGAGGCCACAGAGACTGAGGGAACAAGCAGCAGCAACAATAGCAGCAGCACGCAGGCCAACATCCTTCAAGGCTACGTAATGGTTCCCATCCTCACCCCGTACTACGACCCCTCAGGTGAGAGAAAGTTATGGCAGGAGGAAGAGTGGGGGGGGGTTAAATTATTCATTTTTGCGAGCAAGAGGATGGAACAAAGTAAGAAATAAGACAGTGGGGACACTTGTTTACACCCAAAACAATAGGTTCCTGAGTGTTGTGCATGGCTGCCAAGCTAATCATTAGTAAAGGAACAAATCAAAATGGTTGTGAATTTTCTCGAGTCACTTTTCATGGGGGATTGATGTCAAGGTTCTATCGTTACAGAAACAAGTGACAGATATGAAAGTTTACACTACATGCACAATGATATTACCTTAAATAAAAAAAACGCTATATATCTATGTGAGAAAAATATTGAGGCTATATAATAGGATCGAACCTGTGTCTCAGTATGTTTTTTTTTTGCTTATCATGAAACGATTAATATTGTCTTTTATATCACTTCATGTGTGTATGTAGGATTGATGAGCGATATATATATCACCTCTGCCCACAATATATGTGGGTAAAGAATAGATGTGCAATAACATCTGTGAACATGATGTGATTCAGGGGTAGACCTGTGCTACACCACCTCTCTACATCTGGTGGGTAAGGGTGAAGATGTGCACATCCCATGGCTGTAGATGGACGTGTGCACATCCCATGACTGTAGATGGACGTGTGCACATCACACGACTGTTGATGGACGTGCACACATCCCATGACTGTTGATGGACGTGCGCACATCACAACGCATCTGCTCCTATCCCCCATGGTTATAAAGGACTTCTCTCATGGTCCCTACCCGAGTCTTACGCCTATATGAAAGACAAGTACTGTGCTTGAGGAACACATGTCCCCGCGTCACGGACAGTCGGGAGTAACACATTGTCTTGCCTGTGTCCACGTGTTGTTTACACATTGGAGTGGAGTGTTAAATATTCATCATTTGGCGCAGTGCCACTGTGGTGAGGGCGGAGAATGGAGAGGAGAGGGAGAAGGTGAAACAGAACAAGAAAGGGGAATGGAAAGGTGCAAAAGGATGATGAAGGGGTACAGGAAAGTGGAGAAGAAAGATGAGCTAGTGAGGACGAAATCGAATTTAGACGAGTCACAGTGATAATGAAAAGGGAGAGAGAGAATAAGAAAAACGAAGAAAATACAGAGAAGGAAGGGTATATAGGGGAAGGGGGAAGGAATGCGCTCTGTTCTATTTCTGTTTCTTCAGCAGCAGGTGGTGTGGGGGACAAATGTGGTTCCTTGCAAGCTGCCACCCCTCTTACTCTCTCTCTCTCTGGATTCCAGCCATCTCCTTGCTCTGACTCGGCCCCTCCCTGGATCTCAGCCACCCTCTTACTCTGGCTCAGGTTCGTCCCGACTTCCGGGCGCCCTAACGGGACGACGCCCCCTCCTCCAGGATGCTGCTTGGCCGCGTGTGCTCCCCGGGGACCTCGGGGACTCACGTGTCTCGCTCCAACATTCGTCGTTGATCTCAAACATTTTCTGGGGGGATATTTATCGTCTTTCGATGATACACGACTTAGAAAAAATGATAGTCGTGTCCCCGTGCTGGGCCGAGCGGGGAGTCTAGAGGTATCTTGATGCGACGTTCGGGGCTGGAGGCGGAATGGGTACCTGGATTGGTTTGATGGCCTGCCCCGGGAGATTTCTGTCCCCCCTCCCTGTGGAGAGGATTGTGCAGGGGAAAAAGACGAGGGGGGGATGTTGAGGCGTATGAGACGAAGGGGAGGGTGAAGGAATGGTGAGAGAGGTGAGGTGAGGGATGAGAGACGGGGAGATAGGTGAGGTGAGGGTGAGAGACGATGGGAGACGTGAGATGAAGAGTGAAACCTATGGGTTTCACTCCTCATCTCACTCCCATATCCTATGGAAGATGTGAGGTGAAGAATGATAGAACAGGGTATAGGTGAGGTGAAATGTGACAGACTAGGGCATATGGGAGAGGTGAGGGATATTAAGCTAGGAGGCAGGTGAAGTGAGTGAGAGGTTAGAGGAACGATGAGGTGAGAGGCTAAAAGTGAAGTGAGGTGATGGGTGAAAGGCTAGAGCAGAAGTGGGATGAGGGGTGATACATGGTTGGAGATGTGAGGGCCGAGATACTAGAGTAGAGATGATAGGGATGAGAAAGATGGGTGAGGTTCTAGAGGTGAGGAGTAACAAAGGGAGAGGTGAGGTGAGAAATGAGACAAGGTCACGACCTTCGGAGTGACCACGTCTACCCCCCAAATTTCTGGATAGGAAGTTTTGACTTTTCACCCCCGTCAGCCTGAAAGCATTTAACTATAATAATTGCAGAGTGATTCTGCTGATCATTCTGCTGTGTTTTCTGTGGAGAAAACCATGCCCGCGGCTGAATATGCAGTTAGCAATACCGGACCAAAGTATTGTTAGTTAGCCATATCCTGGTCCTTCGGTCCTTCTCTTTTCTGTCTACTTCTGATCTCTGTGCCACTCTCACAGGCACCCTATGCCACTCTTCCTCGCTGTGGCACTCCAGCCATGTGATGGTCGCACTGGATATTTAACTGAAGCCTCGTGTTAAGACCACCTTGTGTCTTGTCATAAAACGCAAACTATTTGATGAATCGACACATAGATGCGTCCCTTGCGTGTCTCATCACTAGGAGGCACAAGTGTCTCATAACCCAGTTACGAGACGACATGTTGTCCACGTGTGGTAACTGGGAGGCGAGACGTGGACAACAAACACCCTGATCACCACACTGAGTGACCTGTCAGTCTAGGCTTGCGCCCCCTCGTTGGGTCATCGTGCCTGGCAACTCATTTGTTTTGAGTCAAAACATTTCCTTGCGCGTGATTACCTCCTGGGGTGTGACATCGCCCAGGGTCTATAAGAGCTTCCTTCATTACTCCTGGCTACAGTTTCTCCAGAAGAGAAGTATTGACATTAAAGTACACAGGTTAATGACCTCATTTGGTCAACGCTCCAAAATACACGGCCTATAACTAACCTCATACATCTGTTCTTCCTGTTACTCTCATTCACTGGATGACATTATTTGTGCCCTAGGGCACAGTGCTTGCAACACCGCTTTTCCTCATTCTCATATCAGATATGGACAAAAATACAAGTTACAACTTCGTGTCATCATTTATAAACAATGCAAAATCAGCATGAAAATTACTTCCGTAGAAGACATTTAAAAACCACAAGCTGATATCAGTAAAGGTTTCGATTGGGCAACAGAAAATAACATTATGTTTAGCAGTGATCAATTATAGATTCAGTACTTGAATTTGGTAAGAATTAAGAACTTACGATCTAACGTTTACTGAGCATAATAAAATAAATATAGCATCACCCAGGAAAATGATACGGTGGCTTATAAGAACCTTCAAATCCCCGGATTCCACTACAATGTTTCTAATATTCAAATCACTTGTGCTGTCCCGCCATGAGTTCAGTTCAATACTCACTTACCCTTTCAAAACCGGAAAGATTTCTGAAATAGAGGGAATATAAAGAACATATACAGACTAATCATGGAGAGTCACTTTGACCCTGCAAGGACGAAAAGGTTAGTACATCTAGGTGAGTAAACAGACACGCACACATCGAAGCCTTGAACTTTGGTGGTGCAGTAGGTAGACCTGCGGGGCTGCTGCTTGTATGGTCTGTGGTTCAAGGCTCCGATGGTCCAAGTGAATAAGATGTTATAATCCATCTATTATTTGATTGGGACGTGTTACTTAACGATTTTAGGCTAAGGTGTTAAGGTATTATTATATCCAAGCATGGAGGCCTCATCTTCAGAAGGACACATCTGCTTTGGAGAAAGTTCAACACTGGGCGACAAAAATCCTCCTGGAACTAAGTCGACTCTCATACCAGGAAGGGTTGAGGGCCACAGGACCAACAACACTGTAAACCAGACATGACAAGGCGGATCTCACCGAAACATTTAATATACTGGACAGTTTGGAGGATGTTGATCCAGACCACTTCTTTAAAAGGTCGAATGTAACATACCCAAGGAGCAACGATTTCAAACTCAACAGGCATCAATGTTGGACAGAAAACAGGAGAGGCTTTTTCACCCACAGGTTTATAAACCCATGGAACCGCTTACCTGACAAAGCAATAAATTCCAGGACAATACTGCGATTTAAACTCTAGCTGAAAAAAAAATCACCCAATCAATTTAAACTCCAGCTGCAAATAAAAAAAATGGGAGACTTTTGACAAAACGCTGGCTTCCTGTCCCCGTCGAGGCTAGTAGAGAAATGATGCTACCCGGAACTAAAAGTTGCAAGTAGCACAGGCTACGGTGAGCCCGTAGTGGACTTACCAATTACACAGGGCTGTAATTGCTCTGGGATGACCTTCAGGTAAATTCAAGTAAGTAACATGACCCGTTCAAAGTCCGCGCTCATGTTCCCCAGATGGCAGCACCTGACATACCTACTCTGAAAGCCAGTTCATGATTTTATTATGACTTTACTGCAGCTTAACACTAATATTTACACGCACCCTTCAACTTTACCTTATTAAAAAAAAAACATACTTAGTAATGATTCGTTGACATCTAGCAGTATAAATGATAGAAATGGTTGTAAATAACACAAGATCGTATCTGAAACCAGTCACCTAAATTCCGTTCTCTGTTACCAGCTGCTGCGTAGTTCCCCTCGGCGTGTACTCCCCTCAGGCTGTATATACTTCCCCTCTTCCTAGGACCGGCTCCTTGTTACAACGCACGTTCCGTTTGCTGTCATAAATATTCAGTGGAGAGTTGAGAACAGTTTGTGTGTGCGTGGGTGCTGCTGTTGATGGCGATATTATTATTATATTTGGGGGACGACGGGGCTTGAAGAGTGACCATCCCGCATCCTTTTTGCTCTGTGTGAGTCGAGGTGGTTGTCAGTCGTGGTTGTCAGTTGTCACACTGAGACTTGGTGGTTGTTATTCGTCATGTGTGAGTAGTTGTGGTTGTCAGATCACACACACACACACACACACACTTGAGTTGTGATGGTTGTCAAGGCTGTGAGTCTTGGTTGGTTGTCAGATCATCAAGCTTGTGAGTCATTGTGGTTGTGGGTTGTCATACTGTGAATCAAGGTAATTTTCAGTCATATTGTGAGTCAAGGTGGTTGTGAGTCATTACACCGTGAGTCGTCGTGGTTGCCATTCGTGCTGTTAGTCTTTGTTGTCTTTGTTGTGTTATGACTGATAACCACAACATCTCACCGAGATGTTGTGGTTATCAGTCATAACACCGTGAGTTATGGTGGTTGTCAGTCGCCACACTGTTAGTCAAGATGGTTGTCAATCACCATACTATTAGTCAAGGTGGTTGTCAATCACCACACTGTACTCACCTAGTTATGCTTGCTGGGGTTGAGCTCTGGCTCTTTGGTCCTGCCTCTCAACTGTCAATCAACTGGTGAGAGTCGTGGTGGGGGTTATCACCTGTCACATCTAGCCATGGTGGTTGTCAGTCGCCACAAGTACTAGTACTCTGAATCACCAGGGTTTTCAGTCATCACACTGAATTGTTATGGTTATCAGTTGTCACACTATAATTCAGTGTGGTGGTTGCAGCCATCACACTATTGAGACCTGGTGGTTGTCCCTTGCCATGCTGTCATGACTGACATCATGAGGAAAAAACAAAAAAGTGTAAAACATTGAGACATTTTCTTTTTATAATCAGCTAATTTAATCATCTAATTAATTATAATGGTTAATTAATTATAATGGTTCTGTATAAATGTCTAGCAAAATAATTTGTTCAAATGGATTCTGCAAAATTGATCATACTCACAAAATTTTAATAAGTGTTAGAACTTATCCTGAAAACTTGACAAATTATAATATTTAAAATAAATGCTATTATTATCTTAGTATTAATGTACAAGTTTATATAATCATCTAAATGTTATTTTATTACTTCTGCACTAGTATTTATGTATTTATTTATTTATTTATATACAAGACGTTACATTGAGTTTATGAGAGTACATAGCATGATGTGTTTACATTCTTGTAAAACCACTAGTACGCACAGCATTTCGGGCATAATAGCTTAAAGGTGAACAAAGTTTGAGAGCTCACCATTACTTGTGTTTACAGTGTTATATGGGTACCCAGTGGTGGTAGCGAGTCAACAGCAGCAGCAGCAGCAGCAGCTCCACCACCAACCACCACCTCCCCACCAACACTGTTATGGCAAGAGAAAAAAGAAAAAATACCAGCGTCGACGTCATGCAGATGCCTCAACTGGAGTAAGGAACTTAATTTATTGTTATAACGTTTGTACTAAACGTCAGTAATTCTTATATTACCTGCTTAGAAAATTCAATTTCTGTTGAGACAGTTTTCACAGTTTTTGCTAACTTTTCAGTTATGTTCTATTCTGCCAAAAACATACTGGCTTACTAGTATAATTCTGGCAAAAAACAATTGCTATAAAGAGAAATAATATGCTCAAGCCTTGTATGCTCTCTTTGGCTACATTGATAAATTGACAAATAATTAACCAGTTTTCATCAGTTTTAGAAGTTTTAGTCTTCTTGTGTGTTGCTAATTAGTATTTTGGACTATAATTTATTGTAATAATAATAATAACTTATTATTATTGCTTGGCTTGACAAGTTCGCAGTTATTGAGAGAGAGCTTGATCATCTGTAGTGTGATGTACATTATATGCTAGCTTGTAGGCTGTAGGCAACTATGGGCGGGTTCCTCGTGTAGTTCTCATGAAAAGCAGGCCAAAGTACTGGCTATGAGTATAGATCATCATTCAGAATTATCTATAAAGAATCAATTCATAAGTAAAAGTTGGATAATAATTATTATTATGATATCATATGGCTATTGTTCGTGATATTCTTTTTAGAAATATGAGTACTTGAATAATCTTTAAAATGCTCATTGAATCACTTTTCAAATAACTGTGAAGCATATGCATACTGTGTATTAAATGCCTCCTTGTTGATTCCTCATTAAAACCTTATTAATATTTTATACTATATTATGCACAGTTACAGAATTGTTTTCATTTATTACAGGAGAGTTACTTGGATCCGCAGTTATATACTGGTGAGCCATTTGTAGCAACACCAGGTGGCTATGTGGTACCTATAGAGGCAGCTGCATCTGTTTGCCAGGTTCATGGCCTTCAGTATGTAACCCCAGCCTTCCACCAGCACCTTCCTGATGAAGGTTTTGTATCTGTCCAACACTCTCCCTACCTCCCTGAAGTGGCCCCAGAACCACCACCTGTAGAGGTACAGCAGTCTGAAGATGCCAGCCAAGAAGATGCATCCAAGACAGTCTTCAGTGATTTACAGGATAAGGAGCGACGACAAATAGAAGAAATATTGCATGAACGCGCAAAAGCAGACAAGTCAGATTCCACTGAATCTTCAGATTCGGGGGTATCCGAGTCAGAAGAGGTAGCTGCAACTGAGCTTTCTTGTGATGAACTGGAGACTTGTAAGAAGCAGACCTCTCAGGCAACAAATCCAAATGTGGGTGATAGTACAGAAGAGCACACTGGTGTAAATGCCAGTACACTACCATATAGTGCAGAAGAGCACATTGATGTAAATGCCAGTACACTACCATATAGTACAGAAGAGCACACTGATGCAAATGCCATTACACTGCCATGTCAAGTAGGAATATCAACAAATGGGTTAGAAAGACTAACACCAGAAACTGCATCTCATGGAGGTATTTTTGAGTGCACTGTTCAAGAAGCTGGTACTGGTGAATTTCATAATGCTCAACTTCATGTTACTGATGGAAATTCATTAATAAATGTAGACTCCAGTGAATATGGCAAAGAATCACTTGTAAAAACCGATACACAAGACTTTCTATGCACAGAAGTTCAACAAGAAGTTTTGTTTGATGGTTCCTGCTCATCTCAAAGTCAAGTAAATAGTGATAAAGCTGATAGCTTGCAAAGAAGCTGTCAAGAAGTAATATCTTTATCAACTGGTACAGACACTGATACTTGCAATCGTGTATCAGATGCAGGACAACTCGGTGCCGAACTTCAAACAAAAGGGGAATTTGAAGCTGTAGCCGAGTTACCGAATGAAAACCAAGTACAACATGACAAAGTTCCTGAGAATGAAACCAATTATTTACAGCCTTGTGCAACTAATGTTGGCAAAGAATTTGCAAGTATTGATGAATCTACTGTAGACACATTTGTTGATATTACTGACATACCAGAAGTTAAAGAATTTGAAAGAAACATTTCAGAAAGTGTTTTAGAAATAAAGTCAGATGACTCATTTACTACATTGGTGAATGAAAGTAACAATCTCCCAACCACAACCACAATACACGAAAAATCTGAAAGTTACGCAAATGTTTTAAGTGAACAATTACCAGAATGTGTCCCTCCTCATGAACACTCCAAGAAAGAAGTACCATCAAGTAATGAAGACATTAATATTGATGCTCAGTGTTATCAGAAAGAAATACAGGCTCAAAATGTCTCTTTAATTTTTGACGGTCAGACAGATGCCACTGTTTGCCAAAATATAAAATGTACTTTAAATAATGGAGGTACTGCTGAAAATAGTATAAATCATAAAAGTTTTAAAGATCTGAAAGTCACAGAAGCTGTCAAGAGGTGGATCAGAGACGTAACTCCAGAAAAAGCATTTACTTTGTCTAAGGAAATTCAGACTCTCCTGCTAGCAGAACAAGACATTTTGGGGGAAATGGATACAGAAGATGAGTATATTGAAGATGGGATCTCAGCTGATAATAAATCCATCATTGTTATGGAGTCAAAAAACGTGAAAGGCAACCCTTTCGTTGCAGCATCCAGTGAAGCCCCTGTTTTGGGAATGGATAGCTGCAGCAAAAGGGTTGCTGTACTGAATAGGATACAGGGTACCACTCCCGATTCTTTGGAAGAATATGATGGTGCTAGTACCATCAGCAATCTCAGCTATGATCACTTGTATTCAGAGGCATCATCTAGCCATCCTGCCTCAATCAGCCATAGCTTTGATGATGATGAAGGGGATAGGCTTATAGAAAATCCAGATATGTATAATCCCTCTGCATACACAAAGTATTATCAACTGGGTGTAGAACTGGATGACACACTTATTCCAGTATCACCTGTTAATGATCAAAGGTCAAGTGGGTCCACTCTCATTGCTCAAGACAAGTCGGATAACATTAGCGAGTGTGGATCCGAGGATGTGGAAACTATACCACATAAATATGATGTAGTGGCTCTTCCCTCAGATACCTCTCCCATGTCCCTGGCTACTGAGATACTCAAAGCAAAAAAATTACTGAACAATATGGCTCACATAGCAGGTGTTCAGCAAGATATGGCAATGGCAGAGCAGCACTTTGGTAACCCAGATATTTACCTGAAGCATTATAATGCTGCAGCACGTGGTGAAGTGGGTGACAGTGGCGTGCAATCAGAAGAGAGCAGTGATGAAACAGAGGCTTGTAGTAATATCAGCAGCAGCGGTGTTGGGTCATCACTGACCTCCACACCAGCAATTTCTCCAGCTCACCAACTTTCTGGCAGACCTCCTCTTCAGTCATACCCACTACAAAATGTATCTGTTAGAGAAGGGCCAGTTCCATGCAAGACAGTATGCTGTGCTGTTATGTGAGCAATTTAACTACATAGTGTAGGTTCTGCTCCATCTTGTTAACCCTGTGGCGTGGAAGGCAGGCAAAGGGGGCATCTCCCCCTGCCCCCGCCCGCTCGTGCCTTACAGGGAGAGACTTCTGGGCGGGGAACTGCCCAGACACCAAGGGTACAACGCTTAAACTGCTGTGAACTGTGGTCCTTTGGGATTACATGCTCACCTATTTAATTTGTAAGTGCACATGGCTGACTAAAACAGTCTGTGCAAATGTGTGTACGTTGGATGCAATACGAGTAGCAAGTCAGTGCAAGGTTGCTGTAGGATAGTGTCCGTAAGTCACACAAGAACTGTGCTTTTGGTGCTGTGGCCATTTGAGCCAAAAAGCCGTATGGCCTAACTTGGATTGCACTGCACTTTGATTCTGCAGGCTTGTAAGGGTCGTTATCCACAGTCTTAGAACTTTGTGCACCTTCAACAGGTGTAGAAATTGTTGTTGTCAGACAGTGGATGGTTTCCCTCTCAGGTTTGTGGGTATGAGCTCGACAAAGTCACATCACCCAGAATCGCTTCATTCTCATGCAATGTCATTGTGATAGGCATAGTGAACCCTATAGATAGCCGTTATTTATTTTTAGACATGTGATGTTTTAGTCGTTATTGTAGAGATGTTATACCCCTGTGCATTTACATGTCATTTGGGTAGTGTTGATGGTAGGTAGCATTTTTGGCTGCTGAGATGAGTGTAGGTGTAGGTAGGCCCGGTGCCTCAAGAAGGTGCTTAGGATTGGACAACACAGAACTATATTTATCATTTAATAAGAATGTTGAATCTTAAATTTAAAATACATATTGCATCATTCTTCCTCTACAGACATATGTACTGTACCTTATTTATGATAACAGCAAAAATATTAGGAATATTATTATCATAATATCAAAATTCATAAAACTGTGTTTCTAAAGCCTAATCATCAAGCATCCTACCATTTTGTTGACACAGCTGTATGTTGAGACAGCAACTCTCCACATCACTCTAGATGCCTCCTTCGTTGCAATTGTTGGATGTCGACAGAGACCCATTGCTGTTTAAGTTAATTTGCTTAGCACACAGCAATAGTTTGACTATGCATGTCACTTCATCTACTGCGGTTATGATTTAAAGAGTAATGCTTTAACAGATAATCTCCCATAAGGTAGAGAAGAATGTGCTTAATTGTTAAACAATGAATTGCGAGAAATGGGTGTTCTTGTACGACAGTGAGTTTGAGTTGTTGTTTGTTATAGCTTATATACAATGGAACTAAAGTTGACCTATTTTTGCTGATGCCTGTTTCCAGGTTTTTACCTCTTGTTGTAACGTAAATGAATTGCTGACCAAATGCACTCTCTTTTTGCATAACTTCAGCCGTTGTAAGCAATGGACATTGATCCTGATGCCTCTGTGACTTAAAAAGACTGTGGCAGCTTGACTGAAGTACCTTGGCTGTGTTAAACATGTTATTTCATAATTACAGATCATTATTTCCTTTATTTTCACAGAAATAAACCAGAGATCAACAGTGTCGTTTGTCAATATCCACTAATGCCATACAACTTAATATTCCATAGATATGACTGGTTGCATCCTCTATGGTTATTTGCCAAGGCTGTTGGATTGTTGTTTTCTTTTTGTAAATATAGAATCAATAAAATTTGTTGTATTTAAATGAAGTTCAATAATCCTTGAAAAGGTTAAACAGCAGTAATTTTTTAGGGATAACCAGTAAGATGCTTAATCCAGACAGTTTGTTCAGTTTCTTATGTATAATAATTGTGTGTTCATCTTTTGTCAGCTGTGAAGTACTAATGAACTTCATCTGAGAGTTTGATTGTACTGTATATGTTCTGCACTATGCTATTACTTACTTTGTACTCTTTATGAATGACTTATATCTGCCACTTTTTTCAAGTACATTTTGTCCAACTCATGGCATCATAATATTTTCCAGACTGTTTTCCGGCTGAATATGCTGTATAGTATCTCCATGAAAAAATTAGCATGGCATACAATAATATACTATCTATCTTGAAATTACCTTTTCATGATCCACATATAATAATGAATTCATCTCAAAATTATTCCTTCAAAACTTTAAAGAAAACTTCTGATACTTCTCTTCCTTTCTGAAATCTCCACTTGTGGGTGTTGATATCCTAAACACATTTATTTTAATGTTAAAATTATTTTATTTGTTTTTGTAAACTTTGTAAAAATCAAGATATTTATAGTATAATATAAATCAACACAACATGGATTTGTTAAAAACCAATCCTGCCCTACAAATTTACTCACATTTTTTAAAAAGGTAACCAGCTACTTAGACAAAGGCCTTCTGGTGGATGTAGTATACATGGTTTTTGCTAAAGCTTTTGATAAGGTACCACATGAAAGATTGGCAAGGAAATTACAGGCCCATGGAATAAATGATAAAATATTAGAATGGATAAATCAATGGTTGAAGGAAAGAAAAAAAAGGGCCGTGCTAAATGGAAAAAAATCGGAATAGAAAAATGTGTGAAGTGGGGTACCACAAGGGTCCATTTTAATACCTACACTTTTGTCATATACATCAATGACATAGACAAGAATATTACAAACCACATCTTCAAATCTGCAGATGACACAAAGATTTATGGTAATGTGGGAAATGATAACAATATTGAAACCTTACAAAGAGATCTACATGAAACCCTCAGATGGTCAGAAAATAGGCAAATGCTTTTAATATCGACAAATGCAAGACCATGCATATGGGGCAAAACAACCCATGCCACGTCTATCAAATTAATAGCATTACATTACAGCAGATTGATGAAGAAAGGGACCTTGGAGTCAAGATTCACAACTCATTAAAAGTTGTACAACAGGCGAGTGCAGCAGTCAGAAAAGCTAACCAAACTCTTGAGATAATCAAGTATACTTTTTACTGTAAGGAAAAGATGGTAAAGGTTCAACTGCATAAATCTCTGGTGCACCCCCACTTAGATTACTGTATCCAAGCATGAAGACCTCATTTTCAGAAGGACATAGCTGCTCTGGAGAAGGTGCAACACCAGGCAACAAAAGTTATTCCAGAGCTGTCATCTCTTGTATCAGGAACGCTTGAAGGCCACTGGGCTAACAACACTGAAAACCAGGCACGACAGGGCGGATCTCATTGAAACTTATTAAAATACTGAACAATTTAGAGGCTGTTGATCGGGATATTTTCTTCAGAAGGTTAGATGTAACACAAACATGGAGCAACGGTTTCAAGCTCAACAAGCCACAATGCAGGACTGAGAACAGGAGATGCTTTTTTCACCCACAGGGTTATTAACCCATTGAACCGCCTACCCGCCAAAGCTGTAAATGCCAAAACTTTGCTGAATTACAAAATATACCTGGAAAAGATCATCAAGGCAAATCTAGGTAACCTTCTCCAGCAACTCCGTAGAACAATATTTTTGTTATAGATACTAATCGTTATTTGTTGGTATGCGTTCGCTACTTAAACTATCATGTACTGTATTTATGTAAAATCTCCCTGTTTCTTCGGACATGGAACACGGAACCTTACACGCTCTCTGATTTACTGTTTAATAGAGATTCACAAATAAGCTTATGATTGTATACGTTATCAAAAAGGCAGTGACAAAGTTAATTTTGCATTTTAATCACAGAGATTAGATCTTAGTGAGATAGGAAAGATATTCATATTTTAAAGAAGGATTTTTGAACCATCGCTCTCCCTATCGATAGAAATTAACTTTTTTTTTTGTTATTATTAACAAGCTTAGGTATACACAGTAATGTGCTGCTACCCTATTCTATATGAAAGATTACACAGTGTATATCAAAAACTAGCTATAAGTTCATTAAATATTCCCATCTCACAGGATGGTTAGTTATACATGGAATCAGGGGATAAAATACCAGCCTCAATAAAAAAAAAATCAACTGTGACAAACAAGAACACCACTTACGGGCTATTCATGCCCGTGCTACCTTTTGGGTGGCTTAATCCTCATCAATCAATCACAAGAAACAAGGGATACATCTCCCGTCACGCAGGGTCCAGTCGCACCTCCACAGATCTCCAGTATCATCTATTGATACTGTTAATGGTTCAAGAGGACTACCACTTATGGGCCTACCTCAAGGTAACAATCAGGTGAGAACATAAAATATAAGGCTGATCTATTAGCCTCCGTTAGCAAAATCCGGGTACAGCATAAGAATATCTTCCAATATTCCTAAGTGTATGAAGTAATTACAGAGTTCAAAGTACCTTATACCATTTGGTCTGAAGTCACTTATAACAGGGCAATCACAGATATAGTGTTGGTGAGTATGTCCCAGCTCTTGTTCACATAGTTTACAATTGGAATATTCACCATTGGGGGCTATTCATTACCTGCAGCCACCTGCGATACATATCGATATCCTAGCCTAATTCTGGCAATTACAATGTCACACTGTCATTGTGACACTAGTGGAAGTTTTATGCTGTCCGTTCATATAATTCTCGATTCTAAACATGTTTACTTAGTTTAGTTCATTAATTATGCACCCCATATATCATCTTGTGGGCGGTAGTGGAAAAGGTTACAGAGGCACATAAACATGTCATAGCTCTTTATACTCTTGCTTTCTGGCTTTTGTGTGTCAGTGACTGCTCTTCTGTCTTCCCTAATTTCCTAAAATATTGCGGCTTTGACAGAAGAGATTGGAATGCCCATATCCCACTCAACTTCAGGCTTATCACATTCAGTTTTAGCTGCCTTGTTTGTGTCATCATGCTGGACAACACCTATATGAGAAGGTATCCATACAAATGAGACTTTGAAACTCCTACTGTTTGCAATAATAATGTTGTTTATAATGGAAGTTACAACTACAACCTTTTGAAGATCAATGCTAATTTTATCTAGATAATGTAATAAACGAAAGTTTTCTATGTCAACAGAAAGGCAGAAATATAAGCTACACTTTAAATACTTGTCATAAATATAACTGAAGTGAAAGCGAAGATATATGCATTTGATACTGTACAGTTTCTTGATGGCTTGCTCTAAGAGTGTGAAGCCCTTCACACCAGCCTATAAATTGTGTAATTTATTTCCATATATGCTAATTAACCTTAAAATCTATATGTCAGAAGGAAGGAAGATGTAGACGTTAATGTGACAACATTTCAAGAAATATCTCTCTCTTTAAAGTTAAATAATACAATCCTATCGCCGGTGTCCGGACACATGAAAGCTACTTAGGTATCAGTGGCCAGCCAGGTGGAGATCACAGGCTGTACAATACTGATAAATTATGTAATTCACAGAGATACGTTGATAAATATTAATGTTTTATATTTTATTAAAAATACAGATATATACTTTGTTTCATACGTTAAATGTAACAATATTTCAGTATATATTATATAAGCATAGTATATATAATTCAGTATATACAATATATAATAAGAGTGTCAGACCACGGAGGAAGAATTGAAACAGGAATTTCCTTTAGTACTTTCTTATATTAATACATCTTCAGAGCGAACCATTCCTTCTGAAGATGTATTAATATACGAAAGTACTTAGAGCATTCTATTGTGGTTTTAATATTGAACAATTATACATATACGAAACAGACAAATCTGGTGTCCGAAATAGTAAAAATATTAGTGTGCGATGTGATCAATGTAAGGGGGATATTGGGTGTGCCTCGTATCCCCTACAACAACAAGAAGTTCGAGAGCGATGAGGCCGCCACCTACTAGCTTCAGGATGTCGTCGAATCTAAATCAACAATATACTACCGCCGCTACTTTCTCGGAAACGTAAGTACCTGCCGCTTTACTTCTCTCACCCTGCCTAGCCTGGCCTGGCCTGACCTGGCCTAGCCAGACCTGACCAGACCTGACCTGGCCTAGCCTTACCTAGCCTAGTCTGACCTGGCCTAGTCTGACCTGACCTGGCCTAGCCTTACCCAACACTAATCACCACACGTGACAGCCCAAACGAATCGCAAATAAGTACACGTAACAAGTCATATGCCCGGACACTCTTTCACCTTGGGGACTGAGTGGTAACTATTGTATAGAAGAGCCGGCTCCCTGAGAGTGGTAAGAGGGCGTGATAAGAGGCTAACGTGTGGTCTTGAAGGAAGTCGATAAAGCAGACAATTTTCAAAAGGAAGGGCAGCATAACGAGCAGACAGGAATGGACAGACAGTCGGTTATCCCATAATGTGTAATACGCCCCGCACAGCATGGGTGGAGTGGGGGGGGGGGGGTTGTAGCAGGGCACAGTATGGTGATGGTGCGGGTGAAGTACACACCCACTGAATTCCTGCCATCAATAATTGTTTTCATAACCATTAGAACAATGGCATCCCTCCAGCCACCATCCTTCCACTGACCCCCTCCTCTGGTCCTCCACCTCAGACAATAACCCCCCACACCCCCTCTCCCTTCCAGACATCAGCATGTCAAAATCAGTACCATAATGTGTTTAAACTATTTAAACTAAGTCATTGTGTATCTCAAGGTATCTTAATTCATTTGAAAGTGTACATGTGCATTCGTTCATATACTCGCCTAATTGTGCTTGCTGGGGTTGAGCTCTGGCTCTTTAGTTCCACCTCTCAACCGTCAATCAACAGGTGTACAGGTTTCTGAGCCTATTG